TACCGTCCAATAAGTGAACAATCTTGGTCTGTTGTCACCATACAGCTCCGGACTGACCTGACTAGTAGAATAATCAGAGCTTTAGATATATATACTATAGTCATTTAGTTACAAGATTATTATTATTAACGTACGTAAACTAAATTAAGAATTTGACAAAAAAAAATTAAGATATGAGCATTATGGAAGGGTAAAACAGTAAAAAACCGTACCTGCCAACCAGCTTCGATACTATTAAGATCAGGACCAACAAAAGAACCAGAGAGAATCCAAATTTGGGAGAGACTAAACTCATTCACTTGTTCTATCTTTGGATCCCACACGTTAATCGTCGCCTTTGCTCCATATATCTCCGACGATGTTTCCGTATACGCGATCGCATGCTATCATTCACACCCACCAGATAATATAATAAGTCTTATGCTTCAAGATTAATTAACTTTTCTAATCATAATTATTATAAGGGTAATCCCAACATATGCGAATGGAAGACCGTGCATTTTTTTCATAATACTAGTATGATAGTACTAGTTGTATCTTTCAATAATTATTTAACGAGACCGGATCTTAAAACCCATTGAATGCTTATGTTTTTATGTATTTTATGAATTTGACTAGTGAGACTGACATTGGAAGCTGGTTAAATGGGTCCATAATTTATTGATTACATAGACAATTCACACTATCATTTTTTTTTGTCAACAATTCACATGAATATTTATATAACACATATATTTATGGGATAAACCGAGACAAACTAATATACTGATTTAATTCTGAGGAAAAATTTACTCATTTTCAAACAAAAATATTTACATAAGTTGGTTTTTTTGGGATCAAATTATTACTATCAAGTTGATATTTTTATTTTTGTCAAGCAGAAATACTTTAAGAGAGAGTGTAATCCAGTGTACCTCATGTCCATTAGTACCAAGTGCATCAGGCTTTTCTGTCCGTCGATGAAGGTCAATACTTCGTCGCTTTTTGCCAAAGTCAAACAGTGACTTGGATCTGAGGACGTCGCTCATTGTGTTGCGTCGTATGGGAACAGTACCCTTAGGGCACCTCGTGCCGTTCACGTGCCACAGTTGCCATGCACCTTCCAATACATTCGCTGCACCATCATCGTTTTTCTCTGTTCCCATCATCTTCGGCATTTTCTTCGGTGCTTTCTGCATTATTGATCAAGTTCTCATTCGTCAAACGACTTATAATTTTTGTCACATCATATATATTTTCACAAAAGGAAATGCTTCTATACATCAAATTCATCAACATCATATATATTTTCAAGTTTAACAACACCAACAACATATTTTTAGCAATGTTTTTTTTGTTGTTGTTAAACTTTTTTCACTTTAACCAAAAAAAAAAATCAAAATATTCAATTTATCCGTGAACGCTTTAATGTTAAATTATTCAATATAAAATCAAATATTTTAACTACTATATTAGATGTTCATAATAAATATGTTAAACTAATATTTGCTTATTGCTATGATTCCAAGTTAGTTATGTTATAGCTAGCTTTGCTACTATATATAACATATGATAGATGAACTTAAAAATAAATAAATGTGTGTATTACATATAAGTATGAGAATGCAGTTGCTAAATATTTGATATATATATATATTTATATTTATATTTAATTGAATAAAATAAAAGTTGCGTGGTCACAATTACCTGAATCTTGTGATGCTTTAAGAGTGGATGATCCAAAGCTGGCTGCCTTCTTTTGGGTACACAATCAATTACATCACCATCTGGACTCTGTAAATTATTATTTTATAACAACAAAAAGGTAAATATTTCACATAATGATACAATTAAGACAAATCAAATACAAATATGAATTTGAAACATGTACATATATATAACCTGGATGGTGAAGACAGGAGGCTTGTTGATTTTGTTCAAGTGCTTTTGTATCCTCTCAAGTCTCAAGCTACTGACTTGTCCGTATGGTTTGGTATAGTTATAGGCAGAAACATGTGTAACCTTCTGGCTCAGAAAGAGACTTATAGTAGTAACAAAGAGAATTAGAAGAAGACTTCTCTTGGATGCAAGAACTATAACCTCCATGGATGGATCTTTTTATTCTGTTATGTATCACATTCAGTGTCCGAAGAACGAGAAAGCGAAGGAAATGGAAACTGAAAGGAAGACAGATTCTTATAAAGTTAAGAGAGGAGGAGGACTATTTCAAGAAAATGGAAAGAGATTTCCTTTCAAGAATTACAATAGCAAGACCAAAATATATATGTAAAAAGTATTGAATATATTTGTGTGTCTGTGTGTTATAAATGGGGAAGAAGAGAAGTGGGTGGAGAGATATTATGAAGTGTAAATATGGAAATGGAAGAGAAGAAGCGAAAGCAATGAGGTTTTCGAGAAGAAGATCAAATCAAGATTCATCATTGCCCTGCATCGGTTTCATTTTTTTTATATAGATATAGATTTAATTCTTGTCTTTTCTTATTTATGAAAAAAAAAGAGAGAAAATGTTCATTTTATACATGTGTGTGTGTGAGAGTGAGTAAAGCAAAATTGATTAAAATAAAGTTAAAGGGAAATAAATGAAAGAGAAGCAAAGGAGACTATAAATACAATAGAGAGATCTACCCAACTAACTAAACCTTTCTTCCCTTTTATGACACTCCTTCAATGTTTTCATCTGTCACTCTTTTTTTTCTTTTCTCTTTTCTATAATTAAATTTATATTTAGAAACATGTACATTTAATCCAAAAATATAAAGTTTGATATTATACGAATTGAATAACTTTTCTATACAAATTATTAATAACCAAAATTTATCCCCTATATCAAAACGAAGGAATTTGTTTTTGTTTTGTTTAATTTGAAACTATTGATGCCAAAGAGTCAAAAGTAGAAATTTTTTGATATGGTTAAATTCATTTTCCTTCTTTTTGTGTTTGGTAAAGTGAGTTCATTTTCCTTTCATAGTAAAACTGTTTTTTTTAATATATATATGAGTAGCAATTCTATAAGAAATATGGTTAGAGCATGTCCAATATAATTCTTTTTTTTTGTTTGTTAATAGTTCAATATATTACTAACATTCAAATTTCTAAGGGATAAAATTTGTTTTGCTATGATCTATAAATAAGATATCACCACAGGGCTTCTGTTACAAAGAAATAGTAATTGAAGTTATAGTGGTTATGCACGAGTCGGATCAAAATTAGTCATACGATTACAATAATATGCTAATCAGTTTGAACGTTTTATAAATTCAGTAAAAAAATTATCTTTGCTTGAAGGTCTCTCAATCGATCCAGCTTTTTTAGTTACATCATTTGAAATTTGGTACTTTGTCCCACGTGGTGTCTTTTAATTGCGTACCCATACATAACTTATAATTAATATCATTATTATATTTGCGTATCGTATCCTCTGTATATTAATAGATGAGACACTAGGTAAAAATCCTAAGTGTCGTTCAAAAAGAGTTTTAAAGAATTCCTATGGAAAACCATTAAGAAATACTTAATGATATGAACCACTTATAGCTTTATATTCAATATATAATCATCAAATGAATATAGAAACAACAAATATATGGTAATTAATATAAAATATTTTATTTAAAATTTGGTTTATATACTAATTGAGGAGACATTTTGCGAAAAATCACGTTAGTAAGAAATATGTAAGAAATCTCTACATATTTTTATTAATTTTATAATATAAACCCACTAATACATGATTTACAAATCTAAGTCCAACTAAATGTAATATTTAGATTTACCATATCATCTATAATAATTTTTAATATATCTAAAAATATTTTAATTATGATGTAGTCTACCATGCTATAGATTACTAATATAAATATTTAAGTTTTAATTATTAACTATACTTACAAATCTTTATAAATTTCATTATTGGAAAATATATATTATTTTTTTTATTTTTTATTTTCGACAAATTCCTATAAATCTAAAATTTATACATTCGGATGCTCTAAGATTTACATGAAATAATAAGAATCAAGTATATGCTTAAAATATATTGAAATAAATGACATTGGTACAAGTTTTTTTTCAATTTTGTCAATAAAAGTATTAAAACTAATGACATCAAAATATGTTTGATAAAAATTTAATTTTATTATATTTATGCACACTACTTATCATTTTTGGTAGTTAATTTATATTTAAAATTATATATTTTATCATACATATTTAAATATTATAATTATTTAAAAAATATATTTAATTATTTAATCCCACGGTCAACATCTATTATATAATAATTGGGAAGTGAGCAATGGCGGACGTAGGATTTTTTTTCACATAGGTCAATAGTAATTAAAAAAAAATTAATAACAAATTGAACTGAAGGAGATTCGAGCATGAGTCGATGGTGGGACAATATATACTAAGAAACCAATTGTGCTACATAATCTTTGGCAATTTATATGTACTAAATTTTATTTAAACATATTAGGTAGGTCAGGTGACCCACTAACCATCTTCCTGGGTCCGCCACTGGAAGCGAGTTTTTAGAACGTGCTTACATGTCAACTTGACAATCAATCTTAAAAATTAATATGATATGACAAACCATTTATTACGACATGGCAAAACATTTATTACTTATATAATATAAACCAATTAAAACAAATGTCTAATCTAATTAAAAATATTTAGCCCACTACTAACCTAAAACCACATCAATCTTCTTATTATGTCTACTTTACAAAATTTAGCCCACTAATGACCTAAACTAAGGACAATACTCTAAAAAAATATTTTATAAAATTTCCCATTACTAACCTAAACCAACAACAATATTCCTGTATTCCATTATATATACAACTACCAATTTAAATGAGAAATTTCAAAAAATGCCATTTTTCAAGTGCCACTTCACAAAAATGCCACACTTTTGAAATTTTTACAAAAATGTCACTTTTTCAAAATTATTTTTCTTTATATTATTTATGTTTGGGTTAATTATGTTCTATTAGGGTTTAATTTTGAGTGTTTAGGGGGTTTAAGGTGTCAAAACATTTTTAGGGTTTAGAATTTTAAGATATAAGTTTTATAAATCTATAATTAGTGGTATTTTTGTAAATGTACATCCCTAAGTGACATTATTGCAAATGTCACACAAAAAGTGATATTTTTGTAATTGCCCCAATTTAAATTCAAAATAACTTTTATATTCTTCTCTTATTAACAATTGTATATATTTCTAACACAAGAGAATTAAAAAATTAATTTCTAAAACAAGATGATGTTTTGTGACAAAAACTTCCGAAATTTATAAAAACAAATATACATATTTTTCAAAAAAGTTAATTTTTAACACAAGACAATTTGAAAATAATAGAATAATTCAAGATAATTTGTATATAGCTCTAACACAAGACAATTAGAAAAATTAATTTGAGACACATATTTTTTTTAACAAAAGACAATTTGAAAGTAACAATAATATTATTTAATTCGAAAATAGTAAGAAAAACATTTTAATCCGTATTATAAAATTTATGTTTGTTGTATATTTTAATGTTTTAAAACATTTTGTAAGTCTTTTTGTATTTTAAATTCTACTTAAGATATTCAAACAAACCAAATTTAACATAATTTATACATATGATACAATTCAAATAAATATGGTTTGTACATATCTATTTATTTAACAAATAAGTACTCTTTAAACTATTGTTCTAAATTATTTATAGTTCTATAGTAAACTTCATATTTTATATGTAAAGTAATAAAATAATTATATATCAATATGAATATTTTTACAATTACGTAAATAAAAAAATAGTGTTTAATCTAAATGTTCAAATTCATTATTGGATCTAACAAAAAAAACAATATTGATCAAAGATCTATTCGATTAAAGGATATTTAATTAAAAT